TAACAATAACAGTAACCTTTACAATCCTGCATTTATAATAGTACCTTTACTATATTGCACTTTTTACCAAAGGATGCTCCAAATGTTATTGTTGTTCAATTCCATCAAGTCAATTCTAACTCATAGCCATCCTATAGAGTTTCCAAGGAGCAGCTGATGGTTAGAATCTTTTGATTAGCTGACTAGTGCTTATTCTATAGTACCTCACCAGGACTCCACTCCAAATGTAGGAGTATTAATTACAGATTTCTTCCTAGTTTGAGTAGCCTTATAAATGTTTTAAGTGATCTTTTTTGTGTCACTTTAAAAAAAATACATATCTTATGCCTGTAATGAGACTGTCTTCCAATTTACAATCAAATATTTTCTGTGATTATGTGACCAGAGAAAAGGCTGTTACTGAGAAATGGATGCATTATTTAATGGTTTCATTAAAATTTCTCATTTTTGTTTTCTTTTATATAAGTTTATTCAGTAAAACATTAATTTATGTCTTCAATAACAAGTATCATAACAAATATATACATTTGATGAGAACAGTTCTTTATTTGATATTAAAGGTATAGTTTGCTCTTGAGTTTTGATTTTATTGGATAAGACCATTTAAAACCTTTAAGACCAATAGGCCCAGATGGAAAAAAAAAACACTGAAAAAGACGAAATCCTGAAAATCACTAATATGTGATGGGATACTACATATGTTGGGGAGAAGATTGAAAGCAAGGCTTACATACAATCAAAGGCATTTACTAGGCATTTCATTGGAAAAATATTTACTTAGTTAATTAAAATATCAGTATGTCATTTAATATGATCCGTGAAAAAATTTATATAAACTCAAAAACTAAAGATAATAAATGGAGAAAAATAAATGGTGCTGTTTTGAATCTGTGGACTTCAGATCACAGTCACCTTTATGTTTGTTGTTGTTTGTTAGGTGCCAGCAAGTTGGTTCCAACTCATAGTGACCCTGTATAGTGTTTCTGAGGAGGGGCTGGTGAATTTGAACCACTGACTTTGCAGTTCAAACTGACCTTACAGCCCAATGCATTAACCCACAGCACCACACCAGCATTCCACCTCTATATTTGGATCTTCTTAATTCTACCCCAAGTATATTGGAAGAACTGTAGTCATGAAAACAAAAAGTTGAATATACCCAAACTAAAGCCATTGCCGAAGGGATCTTCACAGCAAGGATCATTCCCATCCCTTCTGTATACAGGGTTTATAGGGAAGGGGAACTTAGACATTGGCTACCTAAAATGGAGGCAGGAAGGCTCTAAAGGCACAAAGTGACTGGCTGCTTACAAGTTATCAAGAGGGAGTTTAGTTTCAGAGTGTGTGGGGGAAGGTAGAATCCACACTGAGTGGTTTTCATCCTGTCTAGATGGGTCTGGTGAAAGGAGATGATGATAAGATTTTTATGATTCAATAATAATTGTTATCATGACTAACTGCGATTATCACAACTGTAAAGGTAGAAGTTTTGTAGCAAAAAGTGGGGGAGTGGTTGATCTTACAATCCAGGAACAGAGGCCCCTGGGACCATCAAGGGAGAAAAGCAGGAGTGGAGTGTGGAACCCTATCCAGAGAAGCAGCAACACCAGAAATGGAGGCAGAGATCATGACGTGGAGAGATGGAGCAGCTGAGGACTCTAGACTCAGAGGGAGAGGAGCTGTGTGCTGGTGGCTGGGGAGCAGGCTTACAGGGTGTATCCTTTGGTTATTTGAATGATGGTATATTCCTGAGTGATTTTTGGAATTTAAAAACAACAAAAACAAAAACATAGAGGTAATAGAAGTAAATACTGTTGAATGATGATACATGAAGGATATTCTAATCATTGCAATGAAATGAAATATAGTAGGATGAGTGTAAAACTGATGTTCTCCCATGTGAACTATCACTCAATTCACAATTAAAAACTTAAAACAACAACAATGAAACCCCTTAACTGAACAAACTCCCAACTACTGAAAAAAACTCAAAGGTATATTGTTGATATAGTTCTTCTCTCATCTGAAAATTATTATACATTTTGTCACTTGCTGAAAGAATAGATTACCGAGTTCCTGGCTCCCAAGGTGTGATAGTGGTGGCAAAGATACTGACAAGCAGGAAAGATGAGATGTTTGCCCAATTCATTGACCGAATGAATTGAAGGGGAAATGAAAGAGTCCAAAATATAGCCACACATTCAAGTTGTTGACAAATACTAAGATAAATTACAGCTCCTAATACTTGAATGAGCTTATATATATATGTGTATAAAGCAAAATATATCTTTAAAAATAAAAAAATAAATCTTATTCTCAAAAACAACAACAACAAAAAACCCCACCTAAATTCATTACCATGGATTTGATTATATCACAGCAATCCTAAAGGACATAGTAGAATGACCTCATAGAGTTTCCAAGGCTGTGATCCTTAGGGAGCAGATTACCACATCTTTCTCCCAAGAAATAGCTTGTGGTTCAAATCCCTAATCTCTTGGTTAGCAACTGAGTACGGAAGTACCACTCTACAAATTCTCCTTTTCACAAAAAGAAAAAATAGAATAGAAGGAAATTAAGTATCTCTGATTGACTCTTGTTTTTAAATAATATAAAATAAATAAAATCCTTATCCTGCTTCTCAGTCATTCTTTGTGATCACTGCACTCACAAGTGATTTAACGTGTAGCTATTCGGTAACTAGAAAAATAAGGATTGTCACTGGATAGATACCGGAATTTAGTGAAAATCGTTCACCTTCAGTTAGTGATGGAATTCTTGCAGCCTTGAGTTTCATCTTTGCATCCTATTTCATCCTGGTGTTGTGATTCTGTTTAAGCTAAAGTGCAGTCCCCTTGCTTCTCATGATTGATATATGACAACTTTTCTCTTTATGATTAATCATGGCAAATAGCTTTCTGTATTAAGTACAGATGGAAACTGAATCTATTCTCTGAACAAATATTTAATGCCTGAATATGTTGTCAGATAATATTCTATATTCTGTGATGCAGTATCCATTAACTAGAAAGAGAGAGAGATGTGCACAGACAAATACATATAGCAATAACAAATGTGATAAAGTCTATGTGAATACAAGCATAGATTATATTAGAAGAACACAGTGGGACCTCCTATTCCAGATTTGGTTTGTTGAAAGAGGAGCGAATTAGGAGAGAGGGTTGAAGAAAACATTCCTGGATACTTGGAAAAGACATCTATCTAGAAGTCATAGACATCTAGTTCTGGCAATATGGCATTAGAACTAGTATGATAGATTGCTCTGTGCTATGTAAGTATATCGCTATGAGTCGGAACCAACTCCACAGCACACCACCACCATGTAAGTATACCCAGGATAGAACTGAGAAGTCTTCCTTCCTTTGTCCCCCCTCTCATTTCTTTCCCTTTCCTTTTACCTTCTGTTCCCTTTGCCTACTTTCCTCCTTCATTATGTATCTCATTGCACTAATTTGATTAATCTCATCCTTATTTGTATCCTGCTGTCATCATTAGACTCTTCATGGCTGTCATCCATTTCATTCATTCGTTTCTAATGCTGTAAGTAATACATGTGAAACATTATGCCTAATTATATGCCTAAATAATTTTGTTTCTCTCCTATTTAGTCCTCCCTTACCCTTTGAAAAGGTAACCATTATCTAGAATTGTATGAAGGAGCTTATTAATAAAGTTGGTGGGGAAAGAGAATTAAAAGATAATGAAATTTTTCCATGAGCTTTTTGATGCTCTCAAATATGTATTATCCCATTCCCCCCATTTGTGTACTTTATTTTATGTATGACTAAAGAATGCATTAAGGAGCTCTGGTAGCAGAGCGGATATGAGTTGGGCTGCTAACCTCATGGTTAGCACTACCAGCGGTTCCATCGGAGAAAGATGAGGCTTTCTGCTCTCATAATGATTTACAGCCTCAGAAACCCTATACAGGGTTGCTATGAGTCAGAACTGACTCCACAGCCCATCACCACCACTACCACCACCAAACAACGTATTGCTTAGTCTAGTTGCTTTTCAATTCAGTAAGATGCTTTTCTGTAATATGTGATATACTGAGACTTTTTTTCTCTTACACATGATATTAATATGATCACCATGTTTCTGGATGTAACTGAAGTCATACAGTTCCATTTTAATATTGTATTTCATTGTGTGAATATACCACAATTTGTCTATTCTCCTGACAGTAGGCAACTGGGTTGTTGTTATTGTTATTTTTCTGTCAAGTTGGTTCCAACTCATAGCAATCCAGTATGAGATTTCTGAGGTTTTAAGTCTTCACAGGAGCAGAAACCCTTGTCTTTCTCCTTCAGAGTGACTGGAGCGCTTGAACTGTGGACCTGTGGTTCACAGGCCCGTGCTCATTATATGGAGCCACTGCACTCCTGAGCAACAGACATTGGGCAGTTCCATTTCTGTTGTGGTATACATTGCTGCTATGGACATCCTCTTACTTGCTTCATACATGTCAGAGTTTCTATAGAGTATATGCAGCTAGGAATAGAAAGATTGAATCATAGGGTGTATAAAAGTAAATTTAAAATAATACTAAATTGTTTTCTAAAACTTCTGTGTCAATTTGTACTTCCACCAACAGTACATAAGAGCTTGTGTACTCTTTTCTATCTTGTCAGACTAATATCTGTTAGTTGAATGACATATTGTGAATGCTATGTAATGGTATGACGTTTAGATTTGCATTAACAGGCTGCTTATGAAGTTGTGCATATCTTAGTTATGATCATATGTATTTTTCTCCAGTCTTTCAATGAGAAGATTCTGAATCTGTACCCAAGAATATTTGATAATTTTATATTTGCAAGATTTATAATAATTTTAATCAGAAAATTCTAAATAAATTTAATAAAGATATATAATCAAAATGGTTACCAAAATAAAATGATAGGTAATCTGTAATGAAATAAGTCATTTTCATGACTTACTTTTTCACAGTTTGATGTTTATTTCTCTTTTGACAGAACGATTCCGAGATTTACTACTTCCTTCAACTAGTCAAGACTCTGAAATTCTGCCCTTCATTCAATCCAGGAATTACCCTAAGTAAGCAATAGAAATTCACTTCGTATTGAGAAGCAGATGGACATAGAACTGGGAGAAATTAAGGAGATCAAAGCAAAATTTATTCTTTCTTAGGATTTTGGGAGTGGGTTGAATAACCTAACTTAACCAATCAGGTCATCTCCTGCATACTTTCTCACACTCTTTGTATCTTCTTTCATGTTTCCTGATATTTAAAACCATTAATTCATTCATATTGTAATAAGTGTTCTTTAAGATGACCACATGCTAGATATGATTTTAATTATTTTAGTATATTCCTCTTTACCATTTTAATACATGGGGAAAACAAACTTTTCTCAACTGGTGGTTGAAGAAATATACCTTAATCTTTCCAGCCAATAAAGACATACCAGGCTTTTATTATGTTTCTCCTTCCCTAAAAGCTTATGCTGGTACATGGATATTTTCTGTGGAATCTTGTAGCACCCTTTCCTTTATTAGTGACTGACTGTCTAGTATGAAAGAAGCTAAGGAATGAATAAACTAACATGTCATATAGAAAAGAAAGATTACTACATTAAAGAAGTAGATCATGGTTTGCATATATTTCATCGAAACTAGCCATTATATGAGGCTTTCTGCTCCTGTAAAGATTTACAGCCTCAGAAACAGTACGGGGTCACTATGAGTTGGAACCAACTCCTTGACACATCACCAGCACCAGCCATTATATGGAGTCCTAGTGTGGCACTGAAGGATAAGCACTTGACCTCAAGGTTGGTTTGAACTGCAAGGTTGGTGGTTCAAACTCAACAGTCTCTCCTCATAAACTCTATCACGGATTGCTATGAGTTGGAACTGACTCCATGGCATACAACAAGCACCATTATATGCTAAATGAGTCATTCTTTGATTTGTTTATCCAGTGAAATAATTGAATTTCACTTTTTGAGATGACTTTTTTAAATGCTTAGTTTTTTTGTTATTGTTATCTAGTGTGGTGCTGTAGGATAATCATTGGAGTGCTCATCACAGGTTGGTCGTTCAAACCTACCAGCCACTCCTCAGAAACCTATACAGGATTACTATGAGTTGGAATCCATTAGATGGCACATAACAACAACAACAAGTGCTATTATAACAGAAATGCAACAAGTAGATGGCTTTAACAAACACACATAATGTTCGTGATATATATAGGAGGCTAGAAGTCTGAAGTCAAGGGGAAGCTTTCTCTTTCTGTTGACTCTGGGGAAAAGTCCTTGTCTCTTCAGTTTGTTTTCTGGATGCTTGGAGATTTTTGTGTGGCTTGACATGTATCTTCTCCTATTTATGTTGACTTAATCTGCTGCTTTTATATTTTATAAGAGATTATCTGATGACATAGCCTGCACTAACCCTGCCTCATTAACCTAAGATAACCTATCCCGGTTAGAATTTATAGCACTTAATTTTTTTTTTTTTTGGGGGGGGGAACAAATCAATTCATAACAATTAATTTTGATAATACTTACCTTTGATAACAGTATATAAACATAAAACCCTGATTATTTTGCTTGTTCATTGTTTCAAATATTAACCAACTTTTTTTTAAAGTGTTTTATTGTGAATTATATGATAGTTTACATGGGAGAACATTAGTTTTACATTCATTCTGTCGTACATCATATCATTGCCATGTATTTACCCACTTTTAATCCTTAGTAATTACCTTCTGATCCCTTGCAACACACACAGACGTATGAATGCACTTGTATACCCCCACAGGCTTACATTGCTCTTCAGATGTATGCTGACACGTAGCATGGAGATTCCTGAAGACTGATGTATGACTATTATGGCTGCTGTTCACAGATGCCAAAGATGTTTGCTTTTCTGCCTCTTATGTTCACTGTCTGCCTAAAACCTTTGCTTCAAGAGGGGACCCACAGTGGTTTCTCAACTGATAATCTGCAACTAACTCCTTCGATTCTCTAGCTGCACTGTTTTAAATGCTGCACTCTTAATCTAACATTATATTCTTTGGTAGGGGTGTGATCCATTCCAGTCTTTAGTAGAATTGGCACATGACTCTCATTCTTCAGTGTCTAACCTGAGATGCAGATATTCTTTTGACATCTGTGGAATTAAAAGAATAGGAGGCATTGTTGATATCACCAAACACCATATTATGGCAGTTAAGTCAGAAGCAGATGGTCTTACAAGCTTAATACTTCTGTGCCTCAGTTTCTACTTGTGTTATTGGGAGATAATAAGAATCCCTATCATTCTGAGAATTGTTGTGTAGATGAATGAATGAATAAACATAAGATGCATGGCACATGGTAAATACTCCATTTATCTTTTAGTTATTCATTATTATTCATTTAAAATTACATGTAGAATTACCTAGAGTTAAAAGTTGTTGAACTTCTTAGGAAACTGGATTGCACATTGAACTTGGAAGATAGCTCTTATGTCAGGATACTTTGTCAACCTGCCCTATAATTATCTATTCAGAATTATTGAAATTCAATATTTCTAATTTATTGTTGGATGCTAATGTAAAGCACTAATTGGATGATCACTTAATATCTTTATATGCTTCAGTTTTCCAAACTATCAAATGAAATCATATTTAAAAGTGAATGAAATATTTCTGGGTCTGAATAATATTTATATAACCAATTCTGGATCATTTACAATTATTGTTGTTGTTAAGTACCATTGAGTCCGTTCCAACTCAAAGCAACTCCTTATAGCATTTCTAAGGAGCAGCTGGTGAGTTTAAACCACTGACCTTGCAGATCAAACCAGTTTATTTAAATTAAGGAGTCCTCGTGATTCAATGGTTAAGTACTTGCCTGCCAACTGAAATGTTGGCAGTTCAAAACCATCAGCTGCTCAATAGGAGAAAGACTAGGCAGTTTGCTTCCTTAAAAATTTACAGCCTTGGAAACCATATGGACCAGTTCTACTCTATCCTATAGGTCACTATGAGTTGAAATAGAATAGATAACAGTGGGTTGAGCTTTAGCTATTGCAATTATAGAATATTAAGTACTTCCATCTTCCTGTTGTTGTTATTGTTGTTAAGCCGTCGAGTCAGTTCCGACCCATAGTGACCCTGTACAGGATTTCCGAGGCTGTAAATCTTTACAGGAGCAGAAAACTTCATCTTTCTCCTGCAGAGCAGCTGGTAGTTTTGAACTGCTGACCTGAAGGTTCACAGCCTGATTCGTAACCACTACACTACCAGAGCTCCATCCTCCTACTACCTATTCAATGTCTGGTTTGGTGACATAATTTTAGGAGGTGAATCAGAGACAGAATAATAAAATTCTGTGTGCTGTGTGTTTTTGCTGTGCTTTTAAAGTATTTATTTAAACCAGAGAAGGGTGAAAGGCCAAAGACTCTGGGCATGTAAAGAATGAGTTGTGATAGGAATCTAGAGAACTGTGGTAAAAGCAAATCAGTAAATAGGAGTGGGCAGGAATTTGTGGTTATCAAGATCCAATTTTAAATCATTTTAGATTATTCATGGTTTTAATTGCAGTGATGTTTTATTTGTTATTGTAGATAACTGATAATAAATGAATTGTAATTTTGTGGCACAAAAAGACTTAAAAAGTTTAACATTTAGTTGAACAATTCTTCTTGTTTTTGTAAAGTGCTGTCGAGTTGGTTTTCACTCATAGTGACCCTGTACAGGGCTCCCAAGGAGCAGCTGGTGTGTTTGAACAGTTGACCTTGTGGTGCTAATGCCACAGTGTCACACCAGTAGTCAAACAATTAGAATTGAAAAATTTTGTTTACAGTCTATTATACATATGTGTTGTTATTATTAAGTACCATCAAATCAGTTCTGAATCATAGCAACCCTGAATGGGGTTTCCGAGGAGCAGCTGGTGGGTTTGAACCACCAAACTTATTCTACAGTTCCGCACCTTGTTTTCCACATATTTGACTGACTCACTAGATAGCTATTCTATTAGTGAGAGACATGTTTTCAAAGCTCTAATATGGATGAAGAAGCAACTTGATTATTATATCTTATGTAGTATAATTGCCAAAGCATATCAAAACCTACCATCTTTAAGTGAGACTCATTTTACATTGGTTAATGTAGCTTGATTCATTAACTTAGAATTTTGATTGGGTCTCTAGTTAGTCATCATAGTGTCCCTGACATGGATTGAATTTTGTCCCTCCAAAATATGTGTCCATTTGGCTGGACCATGATTCTTAGTGATTTGACAGTTACGTAATGATGTTGCTATTTGCTATGATGCAGTGTTGTGATCAGTCAATCAATTATAAGGGGATTAGGCTGGGTTGCAACACCCTTACTCAGGTTACAACCCTGATCTGATGTAAGGAAAGTTCCCCTGGCATGTGGCCTGCCTGCATCACCTTTTATCTTTCATGAGAAAAAAGGAGAAAGAAGTGAAAGAGAAGGAAGGTCCTACTACCATCAACCATCACAAAGTAGAGCCTGGAACAGAGTGCATCCTTTGGACTCGGGGTCTTTGCTCTGAGAACTTTGTAGACGGAAGATTGATGCCAGACACATGGAGATTGCTAAGAAATGCCTGAATCATAGATGTTGAAGGGAAACAAGGATCATCCTCCAGAACTGTCAGAGAAAGAAGGCCTTCCCCTAGATTCTGTACCCTGAATTAGAAATTCTGGCCTCTGCTAACTTCAAAGTTAGTGGTTCAAACCCACTAGCTGTTCCCCTGAGACTCTACATGGGGTTGCTATGAGTTGGAACTAAATTACAGCACTTAACAACAACAACAAAGTGAGAAAGGAACCCTGACAATGTAGTCAGTTACACAAGGTCGGAAATTTGAATCTACCAGCTACTCCATGGGAGAAAGATGAGGCTTTCTGCTCCCATGACTTACGGCCTCAGAAACCCTATACAGGGTCACTATGAGTAAGAATTAAGAGCTCTGGTAGCATAGTGGTTACGAATCGGGCTGCAAACCTTAAGGTCAGCGGTTCGAAACTACCAGCCGCTCCGCAGGAGAAAGATGAGACTTTCTACTCCCGTA